GCCCTTGTAATTAAAAAATATCCAACCCATTCGAAACATGCATTGTTTAGAAATAGAGATAGGTATATACACCGCCGAAAGAATCTCATAATGCAGGATAAGTGCAATTTTTATGATGCGTTTAAAGAAATAAATAAATTTATGATCCTTATAGTAATAGTAATTATAGTGCATTATTGAGAATAAAGATATAGATGTAAGTGAAATAAAAGTTAAGAAACTTATGCAGGCCTTCAGAAAGAAATGGGGAACAAGCGAACAATGATCCACTGAGAGAACTTAGAGTATTTAGAAGTGGATTGACCTCGTTAACGCAACTTGGCCTTGTTGTCAGGGTGACTTAATTGAACGCACCTTGTCCGAAGTCCTATATCATAGTAGTTATCATAATTCCCAGACCGTGGACTTGGCACATTCTCAGACGTCTGATGCTGGGAATTATAACTATGGCAGAGGACTTCAGACAAGATGCGTTAAACTAACTCACCCTGACAACAAGGTCAAGTTGCGAAAACGAGGTCAACCCACGTCTAAACGTGTAGGCATCTACCAGGTTAGGTAATAATGGTATTGCCCAAATGATGATGGCTTGGGAGGACTTTGTACATACTCAGACAACTGATGCTGGGAATCGTGATAACTATTATGACAAAGGACTTCAGACAAGGTGTTTTCAACCAAGTCGGTCTGACAACAAGACCAAATTGCGAAAACGAAGTCAACCCATTTCTCTAAATCGAAAGGAGACTGGGACAATACCGAAGGCCACACCACCTTGGTCTTCATATCTCCGATTCAGGTGTTTAGATTAAGTAAAGAATAAAAAATAAGCGGAAATATGAAGTCCAGGATGGCGTGGTCTTTAGTATGGTCACGGTATCCTTTCGTTGTATAGAAGTTGTCTGACCTTGTTTTCACAACTTGATAATATTGGCACGAATGCGCCTTGTCCGGAGTCCATAGAATGTATGGAACTTTTCAGGGTATGACCGTGGACAAAGAATTGTAGTGTAATGCTAAGAATGGCAAGACTCACTGACGATGTTGGGTAAATGTCTGGGAATGTACCGAATCCGTAGTCCGACTCTGGTAATTATCATGCATACTATGGACTCCGGACAATATGCGTTCCTCTAGATGGTCATGAGGATTAGAGCAAGTTGAGAAAACAATTGCAATAAAAAATAAGGTTTCTACCTGATTCATTATTAGTAGAACGATAATCAGTGTAAAGCACCAACCTAACATCGGTGCATCCGAATTCTTAAACAGAAATCCCTGATTGTTTCGGTATCGCTTTTTATGGCATCAAAATAGTAAATTGGGCAAGTATTTATGGAACAGGTATGTGGACATTCTAAGAAATAAATGGAACGCGAAGTGAACCATATATTCTTAATTAGTAACTCAGACTTACCATCTGATGGAGCGGGCACCCTCACCACGTCTACAAGGCAAGCCAAACAGGCATACCAAGTATTTGGCTCACCAATGAGCTCGTGTCGAAAGGAGGGCTCAGCATCCGCTGATCCAGTAGAGTTTGGACCGTAGACCACACTTTCCGGCAGACGAAGAAGAAGAGGCCGATTAGAATCCATTGCGGATTCACAAAATCTGGATTGGAAGCCTTCCGTAGAGCAACAATTAGTCGCTTTAGCCAAAATGCCGCCGATAAGCGAAAGACCGGGCGATGGAGATGGATGGGACGCACGCATGAATGTGGGATGTCCAGATTGGGGTGAAACTATCTCAATAAGCAAGAGGTAAACGATACAGGAAGTGGAGATATGGGAGCTGTGAGGGCTCAGCTGACAAGAAGCAAGACCGGGCAGAAGACCAGGGAGAATGTGCCAAGTGTGAGAAAGTCCAAATGCTGAGCGAAGTGATGAGGATGAATCAGATTGGCCAATACGGCAATGGTTGTCGAAAACCTCGAGTAGGATGGGCTAGGAGAAAGATGAATAGTAGTAATATTAAAAACAACCATTGTAACCGAATCATGTGATTTTGTAAATTCGTCGAAGACCTCTGGATAACCTGCAAAGTTTATAAAAACCCCACTAGAACATCTATTTGAAGCAAAAATAAATGAAGGTTTTTGAAAAAAAATTAATTAGAACTATGTTATAACGTAAGATGGGTAAAATTGGCTCTGTTGCTCCTAAAACTTAGCTTCTCACAGCCAAACAGTGAACAGAGTACTTAGACTTCACTTAAGAGAACTTATCTTTAACTCCAGGCGACCTAACACGACCCATACTTCTGAAAGTAGACAGTCTAAAGTTTTGTGATGCGCATCTAGATGTCACACTTTCAGGATTGAGATGATTATTAGATTGGGAAGCGTAAGGATAGCGGATAGCGTTATTTAACTTTAAATCTACGTAATTAAAGTATAAACAATAGTGAACATTTTTATACCCAAAATTCGCTGTAAGACAGCCTTTTAACAGCTATGTTTAAGAGCACCTATTCCAAGCAAAAAAGGATTTATGAGATATATTCAGCATATTTCGCTAAGTGACGAAGGACTGGTAGCTGAATTTTTCCACAATGATATGAATAGAGCTGACGTTTCCACTGAATTTTACATAGCCTTACTTTCCCAAAAGGTGTTCTTAGCAAAGGTGGACTGCAGTTTCTACCTCGCCTAGGTCTTATCAGTGCCTGACCTTTCTTGAAATTCAAATCTACCGTGACCCAAGGGCACTCGTGGAAATGTGGCGTAGTGGTTAGTGTGTCGACCTTACACGTTGTATTGTTATGAAAAATTCAACTACCAGTCCTTTATCATCTTAAACGAAATAAGGTGAACACAACTCATATATATGATTTACTGGTAGTCTCGAAAACCTACTCAAAACAAATAAACGAGAGCCATTTGTTTACTGATACCTTAGGGAATGATAGCCTGTCTGCACATAATGAAATAAGTATAAGGCGTGATTCTGCCACAGAATTCCATGGGATCAAGCCATCCAGAAGTGGACTGTCGTCCAGGATTGAATGGAAATTCTTACCTGCTAGTACACATTAACCGCTCATGAGGACAGTTGAATCCAGGACATGCAGGTTAATAGACAGATACGGCAGCTTCTTCCCAACAAAATTATATGGCCACTGAATTACAGGAAGCTTTAAAAGTTAATGAAAATAGAGCTTCAAGGTTAAATGCTACTACATGATCTCTGATCAACAGATCTAAGAATTGGTTGAAACAACCAAGTAATAAGTGATTTTGAAGTTGATGGTAGAACATAGCGAGGCTTGTAGACAAAAAATTCCTTAGCAAATATGTGAAGTAAAAGCCCTGACTTGCAACTCATTGACCATACATGCGAATGAAGAAGAAAGTAACATGTATTCTTATAAACCCGCGCTCTGCAGAAGTGGTTTGATCTCGCTTTCGCAACTGAATGGTGTTGTACGAGGGAATTATCTAGGCCTACCTTGTTAAGTATCTTATACAACTGAAGTCATGATAATTTTTAGAGTCGGACAGTGGACTAGTGGTCCGCAATGTCAATGAGCCTTGCAAATCTGAGCACCAAACTATAACACATCAGAGACAAATGGAATCGAGCCCTTGACCAACTTTATGTAGAACAATTGTTATATATTTCCTTCTGTCCTGGTACATTCACCAATCTCATATCCCCTATATCTCCCCCTTCGCTACCACAACTTCTGATTTGCCTATTTTGATCTCAGAAGAGTGCCC